ATATATAGTGCCATGTGTGTATTCCCCACAAATAAATGAAAATAAATGTAATTTAAGACCATAATTATAGGCACTGGAGAGATGACTCAGTTAAGAACACTGGCTGCTCTTGCAGAAGACCTGGGTTCGGTTCCCAACACCCACCTGGTGACTAACAACCATCCATAACCCCAGTTCCAGAGGATCTGACATTCTCTTCTGGCCTCTGCAAGGCATTGCATGCATGGGTGCACTTACATCCATGCAGGCAAAACACACATACACATGAAATAAGTCAAACTTTAAAAAAATATGAACCAACAAGATGGCTCAGTAGATACAGGCACTTGCCTCCAAGCCTGATGGCCTGAGTTCAATCCCTGGGACCCACAAGGTGGAAGGAGAGAACCCTGCAAGTGGTTCTCAGATCTCCACATACAGGCAGTGGCACGCTCATGCCCCCCCACCCCTAATAAATAAATAAGGACTTAAAAAGCTGTATGAGGTGCTTGGGTCCCCGAACTTGTTTTCTGTCGTCTTGCAACCTGACCTCTTTCCCTCCACTGCAGTATCTCAACTCAGAGCTTTAAGCAATGGAATTCGACTGTGATGGCCGACATCTATTCCTTGCTACAACTTGCTGTAAACTTTCAGTTTTTAATTAAAATCTTTTTTTTTTTTTTAGTTTTCAAAACTTAATTAAAAATTCTTAGACAATTTCATACCTGAATTTGGGGCATTTCCAACCCTCCATCTCTCCCGTTGCAACCTGTTTTGTTTTGAGACAGGATCTCTCTCTAGCCCCAGTTGGCCTGGAACTCATTATGTAGACCAGGCTGGCCTCACTTTCACAGAGATCCACCTGCCTCTGCCATGCTGGGATTAAAGGCGTGTGCCACAATGCCTGGTTTGTGAAACCTTTGTTTTTCCCAATGAGTCCCTTCCAACATTGATCTGATTTTTTTTAAATCTTGAATTGTACAGTTTAAATATTCATCTTTATTTTATGTGTATGAGTATTTCACCTGCACGTATGTACATGTACCACCTGTGTGCTTGATGCCTATGAAAGCCAGAAAAAGGTGTTGGATACTGTGGAATTGGAGTTACAGGCAGTTGTCAGCTGCCATGTTGGTACTGGGAACTGAACCTGGGTCCTCTGCAACAGCATCCAGTGCTCCTAATCACTGAGACTTGCCTTCAGCCCCACATTGATATATTTAAAAATTATTTGGGGGCTGGAGAGATGGCTCAGCAGTTAAGAGCACTATATTCTCTTCGCCCTCCCCAACTCAAAAGCTAGGTCCCTGAAGCTAGCTCCTCTTTCCTAGATCTCAGTGTCTTGCACAACGCCCAGGACATAATGATATTCATCCTTTGGATAAAGACCAGTTGCCAAGCCATGATCTCAACTGCTCCAAATGGCTGCTGCTTTTCCAAGTAACTTGTCAGAGAATGTATGTGTCTCAGGAGACAATCCCAGACTCACCCAATCATCCACAGGTTAGACGTGGGGTGCATGAAGGCAGAACACAGTTTCATCATTCCTGATGTGCTGAAGTCATTCCGCACCAAGTTTAGGCTGATCAGGTGCTGGTTACAGGAGAGGGCTGATGACAGTTCCTGGCAGCAGTCGGAAGTCAACCTGCACGCCTCCAACCTGCCAGGAAGTCCAAGAAACAATGTGTAGGTCAATGACAGAGACTTCGTTCAACCCTTGAGAATGTCAACCCATTGTTAAAAAAGAAAGCAGGGGCAGGGGATCTGTACCCCCGGAGTTTGATTTGCTTGCTCTGGAGGAAGAGTCCTATTTCTAAGTCCTCAGATGATGGACTGGTTCTGGATTCTAGAGCTGCTGAACGACTCAAGCTGTCTGTGGAAAGGCTGAAGGCAGGGAACACAACACACAGAAATACTGATAAAGTGATGCTGCATCTAAAACTCAAAAGATGGGGAGCTGTGTGAAGGAGGGAGAATGTCTGGACATACACAATGATACATAGGAAGCTGCCTGGGTACCGTTCTCATGAGGGACCTTTGAGAGATGAACATGCTTAGACGGTCAGAGTTTAGACAGAGACTATGAGGTGTGAGATGAGGCTGAATATTTTAGCCATATTAAAGATTTAGGATTTTAGGAACATGGGCACATCTGGAAATTAGATTATATGAATTAAATCAGATTTGGAAAGACAAATACCTGTTCCCTCTCATTTTTGAAGTTCAGATTGTATGTAGATATAAAAAATCATGTATGTATGTATGACATGAAAACAGAAACCAAAGTGTCTAGCGGAATGAAGGGGATGGAGGTGTGAAAGGGAAAGGTTAAGGGGTTCGGGGGACCATGGTCAAAGTATATTTTATGTATAATATATAAAATATATATTTGTACAAAATGTCTCACACAGTACTACATACAACATATGGTAATAAAAAATTTAGGATTTTAGGAGCAATAGCATACCAAACAATATCATTAGGAGTAACAATGGGGGCAGGCTGGAGGGATAGCTCGGTGGTTAAGAGCACTTGCTGCTCTTGCAGAGGACCTGGGTTTGATTCCCAGCACCAACATGGCAGTTCACAACCACCTCTAATTCAAGTTTCAGGGGATCTGATACCTTCTTCTGGCCTCTGTGAGAGCTGCACACACAGACAAGCAGGCAAACACATATTAAATACATCCTAAATAAAAGAGTAACAATATACCTGAGTGTGGTGGTACATTCCTGTAATCCCAACACTCAAGAGACCGAGATATGAGGATCATGAGATCCAGGAACCTGGGATGTATAGCAAAATCTTGTCTTAAATAAGAAATATTTCAGAGTGTTCTGGTATTTTAAAGTTACATATATGTATTGTGTGTGTACATGTGTGTACTTGCCATGGCATGCATACAGAGGTCAGAGGACAACTTTCTAAAGTCAGTTCTCTCTTTCCACCAATGGGTCCCAGGGGATGGAACTCAGGCTGTCAGGTGTTGGGAGCCTGAGGCTCAGCCGTTTCTCAAAACTGCTGACAGACCTGAGTTGGTGACTTTCCATTCTGCCCACCATCCTCCCACAGGCACAGGACAGAGCCCGCGGCCTTGGCCTGCAGCCTTGGACTCTTTCCCATTCTCCTCCCGCAGGCACAGGACAGAGCCCGCGGCCTTGGCCTCCTTTCAGATTCCTCCCTTAGGGTACATCTGGGCCCCTGTGTTCTGGCTGATATGATTGCTCACTCTTTGCTCCTTTGTTTTCATTCTCTAACCCCATGCTTGAGCTGCAATAAACGAGACTTGATCAGAGCACTGTCTTGTCTCCATTTCTCTTGTCGCTTGCCTCATCCACGGCCCCACCCCCCAATCCAGGTACCTCGTTGCAGACCCCGAGGTCTGGGGCAGTCAGGCTTCAGGATGAGTGCCTTAACCTGCTGAGCCAGCTCACTGGTCCATATTCTGGTATTAAAAAACTTAAAATTTTATTTTGATTTACTTAATTTTATTTGTATAAGTGTTTTGCCTGCTAAACAACTTTGACATTTTTATTTCATGCCTATGAATGTTTTGCCTGTAAGTGCACCACATGTATATAATGCCTGTGGAGGTCAGAAGAGGACATTGGATCCCCTGGAACTGGAGTTACAGATGATTGTTAGGCACCATATAGGTGCTGGGAGTCAAACCCAGGTCCTCTGTAAGAGCAGCCAGTGCTCTTAACCACTGATCCATCTCTCCAGTCCATATTCTGGTATTTTAAAAAACATTTTACTACTACCAGGCATGGTGACTATGCCTATAATCCCAGCACTCAGGGGGCAGAGGTAACTGAATCTCAGTTCAAGGCCAGCCTGGTCTACACAGCAATTTCCAGGACAGTCAGAGCTACACAGTGACACTATGTCTCAAAAATTTTTACATTTGTCTTTATGAATATTGTATGTGCCTGTATTTGCACATGTGTGTGTCTGGGGAGGCCAAGAGAAGGGGTCAGATCCCCAGGAGCTGGTGTTACAGGTGGTTGTAAGCTGCCTGACATGAATGCTGGGATCTGAACTGTGGTCCTCTGGACCATTCTTAACCACTGAGCCATCTGTCCAGGCTCTATGTTCTGGTATTTGTTATTTTCATGTGTATGGTTTTTTTATCTGAATGTAAGTGCATCACATGTATATGATACCCATGGAAGCCAGTAGAGGGTGTCAGAGGATCCTGTAGAACTGGAGTTACAGATGGTTGTTAGCCACCATATAGGTTCTGGGAACTGAACCCAGGTTCTTTGCAAGAGCAGTCAGTGCTCTTGACTTCTGTGTCATCTCTCCAGTCCCTCTTTAATTTTATATGTATGAGTGTTTTGCCTGCATGTAAGTGCATTATGTGCACGCAATGCCTGCAGAGGCCCGAAGGGGACCTTGGATCCCCTGGGACTGAAGTTATGGGCAGTTGTAAGCAGTTATGTGGGTGTGAGGAACTGAACTTGCTGCACTAGCATGAGACAGACCCCCAGCACCCATATAAAATTTGGGTGCAGTGGTGCACATTTGTAACCCCAGTGTGAAGAGGGGGGTGGCTAGAGACAAGCAGATCCTGGGGTCCAGTCAGTCTGGCCAAAATGGCAAGCTCCATGTTCAGAGACTGTCTCAAAAATAAAATGGTAGGGGGTAGAAAAGTGATTGAGAAAGGTATTCTGATGTGAACCTCTGGCCTCCACATGCTCTGGTACAGGAAAGAACATCCATATAGGCAAATGTGCCTGCACACATGCATGCACACACCCACCTATGTGCTTGCATACAGACACAGACACAGACACAGACACAGACACACACACACACACACACACACACACACACACAAATAGCTGAGGGCCAGAAATAGGGAACTGAAGAGAACACAACTGAGTGTTAAGAGAATCCAAGTGTCAAAAAGGTGTTATGACTTAAGGAAACAGGGTCCTCACATTAAACCCCTTGCCCAACAAAATAGGAATATCGCCTCTTGGAGTGTTGAGGTTACACATAATGTTTTCATGATGTTGGTAGATGGTTGGTGCTCAATAAATGTAGAAGATAGCTTCAACTGTTTCTAGATTCTTTTCATCACCACAAAAGAAACTCCTCCTTGTTCCCTCCTGCCCATAACCCTGGCAATGCCTACTCTACTTTGTGTGTCCATGAACTTGGATCATTCTAGCCATTTTGGTTAGGCTGGCTTACCAGTGAGTTCTCATGACCCACCTTTCTGTCCCCCAGTACTGGGATTACAGGAACATACAGCCATGCCTGATCTTTATATGGCTGCTGGGGATTCAAACTCATGTCCTCATGTTTACACGGCAAGCACTTTTTACAGTGATCCATCTCTGCACCCCCTTCATTTCTTTTCATTGGCAGAACCAGATTCTACTGCATAGGCAAGACTAGCATTTTCTTTTTTTTTAGAGTTAGAGAGTCTCACAAAACTTACAATGTAGACTAGGTTGATCTCAGACTCAAGGTAATCCTCCTGCCTCAGCCTCTCAAGTGCTAGAATTACAGTAATCACCATAACTGAGAGCACTCTGCCCTAACAAGGTCTCAGGTGATTACTATACTGACTAAATCTCTAAGGACCACTGGCATTAATTAGTTGCTCTGTGTTCAGTCTTCCAGGTAGATCACATGTGGCACAACACCAAAGTCTCAGCCATCTCCCTGTTTCCACCACCTAGCGCCATGCTTAGCACAGAAAGGCTGTTTGGGATTTGAAGGCTTTCCATCTGTAACCCTGCAACACCAAGACTCTTGATTCCACAAGGTGACATTCCATCTGACTTGCTCAAGTCATGAAATCAGGAGGCTACCCTTGTTTCAACAACTTCATGCTCAGATCCTCCCACTTCCTCTGAGCTCTGTTATTCCAGACGTGATCCCCCCACTCCCCAAACGTACCCGAGTCTCCTCAGATGACTGTCCCTTTGCTTCAGACCCTCACACAGAGCCACAACTCCGCTGTCACCCAGAGCATTGGCACCAAGATCCAAGCTCCTCAGGTATTTGTTCCGTGTGATCACACAGGCTAGGTCCTTGCAGCAGTTCCCCGTGAGCTGGCAATGCACCAGTCTGTGAGACAGGAGACACAGGAAATGCAAGCCTTTTGGGGGGGAAGTACTATAGTGGGGGTAACATTCAAAAATACCAACAGTGAACGCTTTTATTCTTTTCTAAGGGGTAGTCTTGGGGCCGACGAGCTGGCTCAGTGGCTAAAGATGCATGCTGCCAAAGCCTGACAACCTGAGTTCGATCTCCAGGATCCACATGATGAAAGGAGAGGCCTGACTCCTGGAAAATGTCTTCCAACCTCCACACAAATGCTATGGTATGCACATGACAACCCCCTCTCCCAGTAAATAAACATCTGTTAAAAACAGAGATGGTTTTAGGGCTTAGAAATGGTTCCGTGGTTAAGAGCACTGGATACTCTTGCAGAGGACCCAGGTTCAATTCCCACCACCCACGTGGTGGCTAACAACCATTCATAACTCTAGTTGTGGAGAATCTGGTGCCCTCTTCTGACCTCTGTGAACACTGCATGCTTGTGGTGCACTTATGTACATTCAGGCAAAACACACATAAAGAGGTGGTCTTTGTGTGTTTTGTACACATGTGAGTGCATACCTGTGCATGTGTGTATGGAGGCCAGAGGTTGATGTCAAATGTCTTCTAACACCGCCAATCCTTTTATTTTATATGTTTGAGTGTTTTGCCTGAATGTATGCAAGCACACTTATGTCATGCAATGCTCACGGAGGCTAGAAAAGGTCATTGGATCCCCTGGAACTGGAGTTATGGATGTCAGCTGCCACGTGGGTCATGGGACCTGAACCCTGGTCCTCTGCAACAGCAGCTGGTGCTCTTAACCACAGAGCCATTTCTGCAGTCTCCCATCTTAGTTTTTACAAAGTTGTTCCCCGAATCTGGAGCTTGTCATGTTGGATGAACTGGCTGTCCTGGCAGCCCCCGGGAGCTGCCTGTCTGACTTACCAGTGGGGTTACCGATGTGCTGGGGGCTTTCACATGGGTTCTAGGACTCTGATTTTGGGTCTTCCTGATTTTTCAGCTAGTCCCTTTTCCACTAAGCTGTCTCTCCAGTCTCAAGAGATGGCCTTTCTATCTGTTCTTAGGAACAGCACAGACTGGGTGGTATTAGCGTAGAGGACGGTAGTGGAGGGTTGGAAAAATGCAGTGTGTATGAGTGAATGGAGGTATCTGGAAAAACTGGGGAAGGAGCCAAGGGTGGACAGAGGCAGAGAAACAGATGAGGTGTGAAAAAGTTGTTGGTAGAGCACCAGAGGAGGAGGAAGAGACAGAAACTGAAGCTATCTAAATGCTCTCAGATCTTGGAGTCCGCGAGGGCTGCGGCCCCATGTTTCTGTCCTGGGACAGAGAGAACAGTAATGTCTGCATGGCTGAAACAGTCTCACACAGTTCGGGCATCAAAATCCAATGTCTCCCAAATGTGAAACTGGACACCAACATGATGCCTACAAAGCAAAAACCCCACACATGACCTCATGTGATAGGTCATGGCTAAAAACACCTAACACTAAAAGTTGTATATAAAAGCCACCTTTCTGCCTAAGTGTAAGGTGCATATGAAATATAAAGGCATCTATTCATATGAAAATATCCCAGAATCTGAAAAAACGTATCATAGAACCTGGTACATGCCTTTAATTCCAGCATTTGGGAGGCAGAGGCAGGTAGATCTCCCAGAGTTCCAGGCTAGCCTGGTTTATATAACAAGTTCCAGGTCAACCAGGGATACATAGTGATACCCTGTCTATAAATATATAAACCTACCAGTGAGGAGCTGAAGATGTAGCTCAGCGATACAGCATCTGCCTAGAATACCCCAGTGAGGGGCTGGGGTGTGGCTCAGTGGTAGAGCCCCTGTCTAGAATTCCCCCAGTGAGGGGCTGGGGTGTGGCTCAGTGGTAGAGCTCCTGCCTAGAATCCCCTAGTGAGGGGCTGGGGTGTGGCTCAGTGGTAGAGTCTTACCTAGAATCCCTCAGTGAGGGTTTGGGTGTGGTTCAGTGGTTAGGCCTTCTGGTAATAGTTCCTTCTCCTAAACCCCCACGGGCCAACATACCACCTTTATCTAGTGTGACTCCCAGGAGGATAAGCAGTTGATCCCACAACCAGTTTTTGTTTCCAGCATTTCCTGCCCATCTCCTGCCTTGTAGCACCCTAGGTCCAGGGACGACGGAACTCTCCACAACTACTAGGTACTCACTCTAGGTCTTGGAGGTGACAAGTTGGTTCCCTGATGGCCTCACACAGAAGCTTCATACCACTGTCCTCCACAGGATTCATAGTCAGGCTCAGATGAGTCAGCTGTGTGTTGTTCATAAGCGTCAATGCGAGGAAACCATAGGCCTGTCCCCTGAGGTTGCAGTCATTCAGTCTGGAACACACAATGGAAGAGGAGGGTCCATCGCTCCTCCTTCCCGTGACTTTGGCTAAGTGACTCCTCTCTGCCTCAGTTTGCTCCTCTGTAGGAAGGGGCTCATCTGTGTAGTGACCATTGTTGTCAGGTTTAAGTAATGGGTGATCACAGAACTTGGTATGTTTGTTGTTAGGACATACTGGATGCTGGTCTGGATTCCCTGACTGGGTCAGTGAGATGGCTTAGCAGATAAAGGCACTTGCTTCTAAGCCTGAGAACTTGAGTTCTATCCCCTAGACCTGTATGATAGATGGCGAGAACGACTCCCCCAAGTTGTTATCTATGTTCCACACACATGCTGTGTCATCCACACATATGCACATGTACACACATGCACACACACATGTGAAAACACTCAAAGATTCTTTGACCTTCCTTATTTTTTGCTTTTTTTCCAGACAGGGTCTCCCTATAGCCACAGCTGGCCTTGAACTCGCTATGTAGACCAGGCTGGCCTCGAACTCACAGAGATCTGCCTGCCTCTGCCTCCTGAGTCCTGGAATTAAAGGCATGTACCACCATGCCCAGCTCCTTTAATAATATTTTATTTCATTTTCTATGGGAGGAGCTCTAAATACCATCAAATTTATTGCATGGAAATTAAAAAAATTCAATAAGCCATTAAGAAAATAAACAGTTTAATGTTGAGCAATGGGAGGAGTCAAGCAGAGGAGCTGGGGGTGAACATGACTGAAATGCATTATATAAAACTCTCAAAGAATTTATAAAAGTACTAAAACAAAAGACATGAGAGTCAAAGGGGGACTAGTTGGGAAGAGGCAGGGGATCAACGTGAGCGGGAGACAGAAGAGGAAACTGGGGTGACTATGGTCACCAAACATTTAAAAATTACATCGTGTGTGTGTGTGTCATGGTGCACATGTGGCGGTCAGAGGGCAACTGGTAGAAATGGGTTCTTTCCTTCCACCATGTGGGTCTCAGAAACCAAACTGAGTTCATGGGACTTGGCAGCAAGTGCCCTTACCTGCTGGAGCCATCATGCCAGCCCTATTTAAAATTATATTTTTTTATGTGTATGACTGTTTTCCCTGCATGTATGTAAGTGCACCAGTGTCATGCAATGCCAATGGAGGTCAGAAGAGGGAGTCTGATCCCCTGGAACTAGAGTTATGGCAGCTGTTAGCTGACATGTTTGTGCTGGGAACAGAACCCAGGTCTTCTGCAAGAGCAGCCAGTGCTCTTAACCACTGAGCCATTTCTGCAGTGAGCATTCCCCCCCCCCCACTATTTTATTTTTCTGAGAAGACTAATGTAGCTCAGGCTGGTTGGGAACTCATTACATAGCCTAGGATGACCCTGAACTCCTGCCTCTACCTCCTGAGTGCTGGGATTATGTGTGCACCACCATGCCCAACTAAGGTTATATTCTTCAACAGACTTCCTGGTTTATTGTATGTGTTTTAAAATTACAGTTATTATTAACTGTGTGGGTTAGAGTATGCTACAGTGTACTTCTGACAGTCAGAAGACAAGTCATGGGGTCAGTTCCTCTTCTTCCACTCTGTGGGACCCAGGGATTGAACTCAGGTGGTCAGCTTTGGTGGCAAATGCCTTTATTCAGAAAGCCATCTTACTGGCCCACATGCACATACTCTGTTCACAGTAAGTTACTAGTGGGCTAACTGGTCAAGGGGAATGGATGACAAGTGAGCCTCTCCCATAACCAGATTAGGCAGCTTCCATTTTGAGTAATAAGAATCTCTCATTCTGCATGTCAGACCAAAAATTTATAGAAGAATAGCTTAGCAGTTTTATAAACAGTTATGTGGAAACACTGCCCTCAAGAGCCACAGAGGGTCCTGTTTCTATCATAGTAGATATGTGTGGTGCTCTGTGGAGTCAGATTATACAGTATAGTCATCCCTTTACAGCTATCTAAATCATCTTTACAGCTATCTAAAATGTTTCATGTGTGCATGTTTGTGTGTGCAAGCCAGAGTTCAACCTCATTTTCTCCTTGTAAGATATCCACCTTGTTTTTTAAAATATGTATTTTTATGTGTATGTTTTGTATGAATGTATGTACATCATGTGTGCAGTGCGTGTAGGGGCCAGAAGAGGGCATTGCCTGCAAATCCTGGAACTGGAGTTACACACAGCTGTGCATTGCCATGTGGGTGCTGGTAACTGAACCTGGTGAACCTGGGTCCTCTGCAAAGCAGCAAGTGCTGCTAAACACTGAATCATCTCTCCAGGACCCTGCCTGTTCCTTCCTCCCTTCCTCCCTTCCTTCCTCCCTTCCTTCCTTCCTCCTTCCTCCCTCCCTTCCTTCCTCCCTTCCTCCCTCCTTCCTTCCTCCCTTCCTTCCTCCTTCCTTCCTCCTTCCTTCCTCCTTCCTTCCTCCTTCCTTCCTCCTTCCTTCCTCCTTCCTTCCTCCTTCCTTCCTCCTTCCTTCCTCCTTCCTTCCTCCTTCCTTCCTCCTTCCTTCCTCCTTCCTTCCTCCTTCCTTCCTCCTTCCTTCCTCCTTCCTTCCTCCTTCCTTCCTCCTTCCTTCCTCCTTCCTTCCTCCTTCCTTCCTCCTTCCTTCCTCCTTCCTTCCTCCTTCCTTCCTCCTTCCTTCCTCCTTCCTTCCTCCTTCCTTCCTCCTTCCTTCCTCCTTCCTTCCTCCTTCCTTCCTCCTTCCTTCCTCCTTCCTTCCTCCTTCCTTCCTCCTTCCTTCCTCCTTCCTTCCTCCCTTCCTTCCTCCTTCCTTGCTCCCTCCCTTCCTTCCTCCTTCCTTCCTCCCTCCCTCCCTTCCTCCCTCCCTCCCTCCTTCCCTTTTTTTCTGTGGGTTATGGGAATCTGAACTCAGGTCTTCACATTTGTGTGGCAGGCACTGACCACTATTACTTAGAGATTTTGTATAGATAAATTTTAGTGACCAGGAAAATGTATCATGAAAATCAATGCTGGTGGAGATCACGAACTTCTCAGACACCTCAGCCCCATGTGCTGATTCTGGTGGGGGCAAGGCTTGCTTTAACTCCTATGTTGAACAAATTCCCATTTGGAGGTGTATTTAGGGCCATATTTGTTGAAATTTTGTGCTTTCTGTGGGGATTTAGCAGTTTAAAATGGCCCCATGTGCTGGAAAGATGGCTCAGTGGGTAAAGGCACTTGCTGCCAAGTCTGATGACCTGAGTTGGATCAAGGGATCCATATTGTGGAAAGAATCAACTCTCTCAAGTTGTCTGACTTCCATGTGCATGCTGTGGCACATGGTCATCCAAATGTGCTCGTGCGCGTGCGCGCACACACACGCACACACACGCACACACACACACACACACACACACAAAACAATCATAATCAAAAAAATGAAAAAAAAAACCCTCTAAAACATTGACCAGCAAAAAATAAAAAAAAAAGGACCAGCTATAGTGGTGCATACCTTTAATTCCAGGACTTGACAGGGGGTTCTCTGCGAGTTCAAGGCCAGCCTGGGCTACATACTGAGTTCTGCACTAGCTAGTGAGCTGGGGATATTGCTCAGTTGGTAGACTGCTTGCCTAGCATGCACAAACCCCTGGATTCAATCCCCAGCACCATATTAACCTAGGATGGTAATGCACACCTGCAATCCAAGCACTCTGGAGGTAGAGGCAGGATCAGGAATTCAAGGACATCCTTGGTTACATTGGGAGTTTGAGGCCAGCATAGGCTATGTGAGACCCTGTCTCAAAATCAAAACCAAAGGCCAAGGGCTGGGAGAAGGCTCAGTGGGTAAAGTGCTTCCCATATAAGTGCAAGGGCCCGAGTTTCAATCTCCAGAACCCAGTGCACGTCTGTAATCCCAGTGCTCCTAATGTGAGAGGTGGAAACAAGAACCACCCCCATATGGGGGCTGGCTAGCCTGGTGTATGCAATGGCTATTGTCAAACAGATCCTGCCTTATATGGGGAAGGTGAGGAGTGACACCCGAGGTTGTCCTTGGCCTGGTACATTGTGCACTGCATTCACATAAACATATACACCCACACACCCTAACTTACTAAAAAGGCTCCAAGGGTAATGCCCAAGCACTACGCAGTTCTACAAAACACCAGGAGGTTGTGATGTCCCTATATTAGATAAGCTCTGTTCAAGAACGAGTCGCTGTGCCCTTGTTCTAAGTTCAATGTTAATGAATTGACAGTAGATGTCAAATGAAGCATTGCTTGGTGCTGGAGAGATGGCTCAGCAGTTCAGAGCACTTGCTACTCTTGTAGAAGATCTGAGTTCAGTCCCCAGCACCCACATCAGGGGCCTCACAACTGCCTGCGACTCCAATGTCCTCTTTTGGTCTCTGTGGGTTCCTATACACACACACACACACACAGACACATACACACATGTGACAGACACACACAGACACAGATGTATAAAAATTAATCTTTCAAAAAGCTGAAAATATTCAAAGCACTGTTAAATGGGAAAACCTAAAAACAAGGCTGAGTGTTGAGTGACTGATGAAAATATGACCATAAGTCCCCAGGAACCGAACTCTGTATCACCAGGAGCAATGACTCAGTATTGATTAATTGAGGGTGACTTATAGAACATGACTGGTTGCTGTGAGAATCAACTGTATTTGAAGGAATTCTTTCCCACTGCAAGAAAATAAAAACCGAGGTGGGATTTCCCAAGGATGGAGAAAAGCAAGTTACAAATAGGGCCAGGATTTAGCACACATGGCCATCTGTAGCAGCAGGTTCTATGCCCATGGTCCAGGTATTTCAATTCTGTAGTGGCATATGTCTTTAATCCCAGCACCCGGGAGGCAGAGGCAGGCAGATCTCTGAGATCAAGGCCAGCCTGCTCTACACAGCAAGTTCGAGGCTAGCTGGGACTACAGGGAGACCCTGTCTCAATAAAATGAAATGAAACAAAAAAAAATCTTTGTTTCTCTTTTGTTTATGTGTATACATAGCTGTGTAAAATTTTGTGCTCTACATGTGTACAGATACCCGTAGAGGCCAGGAGAGGATGTTGGACTCCCTGGAACTGGAGTTATAGGCAGTTGTGAGCCACCCTATGTGGGTGCTGGGAAGAACCCAGGTCCTCTGCAAGAGCAGCAAGTGCTCCTAACCACTGAGCAATCTCTCCAGCTCCCTGACTTTTTTTCTTATTATTAAGTAACAGCATAACAACTGTATTTCATTTATGTTTTACTAGGTATTACAAATAACCTATAAGTGATTTAAAGAATACTAGATGATGTGTTTATTTGCAAAAATACTGTTTTATGTAAAAAAAAAACAAACCTGAATGGGCTGAGGAGAAACTGAATGGCCTCAGTGAGAAAAGTGTTTGCTTTGCAAGCATGAAGACCCGAGTTCAGATCCCTGGTAGCCGTATAAATGTAGGGCAGGTGTGGTGTTCCACCTGGAATACCAGTTCTTAAGAGGCAAGGACAGGAGAGCCCAGGGCTAGACTAGCCAGATCACTGAGCTCTGGGTTCAAACATGATAACGCTGCCTCAATATATAAGGTGGAGAGCTACTGAAGACACCATGTGCACCCACACACAGTTGAGCATGCACACCCCCTACCTGTACATGCAAACAATAAAAATAAAGCACGCATTTAAGAAAATCTTGAGGGCTGGCAAGAGGGCTCAGTAGGTAAATGCGCTTGCAGTCAAGCCGGATGATCTGAGTTCCATCCCTGGCACCCCATAGAAGGAGACAACCGATCTCAGCAAGCTGTCCTTTGACCTTCATACTGACACTATGGCACCCATTATGCCCCACATACACAGATAAATAAATGTAATAAAGGTCTTGTATAATTAAAAATATACCCATAGACAGCAGAACTGGAGCATCTATGATTTTATACCAATGAAGGTCCTGGAACTAGAGCCCTGAAGACACTGGGTGTTGTGGTTTGGATGAGAATGTCTCCCATAGGCTCATGTAGGTGGTGGTGCTGTTTTGGGAGGTTTATGGAGCTTTTAGGAGGTGGAGCCTTGCTGGAGGGAAGCATATAACTAGAAGTGAGTTTTGAGGTTCCAGATGGCTGTTAACCACCATGTGGGTGCTTGGAACCAGAACCGGGTCCTCTGTAAGAGCAGTCAGTGCTCTTAACCACCGAGCTGTCTCTCTAACCCTCCTTTTAAGTGTCTTTTTTTGGGTCAGGGTATTTTATCACAGAAACAGAAAAATATATTGGGGAAGGGTGCTGTATACACCAAGCACATTCACAGGAACGATTCTACACACCTCCATCATTCCCTATGTGTGGAAGAGCTGAGAGACCCTCCCAGAGAAACAAACCAGACTCACATCAGTCGCTGGAGAGTGCATCCTGGGTGTCTCAAGGACTGACACAGCAGCCTCATCTCTTCCGTCCCTAAGTCATTGTTCGACAGGCATAGGTGTGTCAACTTCCGGTTGCTGAGGAGGGCTGAAGATAGCACGTGGAAGCTGGCAGATTTGAGGTCACAGCTGTCCAGTCTGCAAGAAGAGTCCCCTCCCCCCAGAGGACACAATGAGGTCTGTTCTGAAGTTTTCATCCCTTAAAACTTGCACATCAACATCCGGGCAGCGCCACCCATGACAGCCAAGATACAGACCTGACCAACGTGTCCAACAACAGGAATAAACATGGAAAATACAGTATATATGCTTAATGGAATAGTTTCCCGCTGTAAGAATGAAGTTATGTCATTTGTGGGGAAAATGGGTACAACTGGAGATCATTATATTAAATAAATTAAGCCAAATATGTTGTCAGAAAGACAAATAACATGTTTTCTTTTATCTAGATTTAAAATGTTTATTACATTTATCATTAAAATGTTTATTACATTTATCATTATTATTTCATGTATGTGTGCTCATGTGGAGGTCAGAGGATAACCTGCATGAGTTGGTTCTCTCCTTCTACCCTGTAGGTCCCTTGGATTGAACTCAGGTCATGGCTTAGTGGTGAGTACCTTTACCCACTGAGCCATCTTGCTGTCCCTAAAATTATTTCAAAATGTTATTATGTGTGTGTGTTTGTGTGTGTATATGCCCATGTATGCGTATGCCTGTGGAGTTGAGAGGACATCAGATCCCCTGGATCTAAAGTCCCAGGCCATAGTGAGCTGCCTGATGTGGATGTTGGGAATCTAACTCCAGTCCTCTGTAAGAACAGTGTGCACTCTTAACCACTGAGTGATGTCTCCAGGCCTGCCTCTGGCTTTTAAAGGATAACTTGTGCTATTTGGCTTTCAACATTTGCCATGACTTTAAAGTAGTAAACTAGAGCCATGGCAGGTGCCAGCACGTGGCTCTGAGCATTGACCATGGGTTTGATTTCCAGCTTTACCAACTGATAATAGTTCATTTGTGGATGAGCAACTTAGCCTAAAACTTCCTTCCCATTTGACAGTGGGACTAGATAGTGGGTAGGCATGTTTGGAGAACAGAGTGAGGCAGGTATGGGAGAGATCTGGCTCTGCATTAGATACCGCTCATTAGGAATTTAAGAAATGGTTTCTACAATCACTGCTTCTTCATGCCCCTCTCTGTCCACAGGACGATTTAATCAATAATAACTGACCTCTCTTTGGGCCATCAGTAGTAAGGGACACGGAACCACCCTACCCTGTGCTTTCATGTAGAATTTGTCTGCCAAAACATGTCTAGACTTGTACCTATTCTTGGCTCTTTTGTTACCACAGGAAGTCAGAATTATCTAATTAGCATTTTGGATAATGTACTAGACCTTTCTTTGTGTGTGTATGTACATGTGTATGCAAGTGTATGTGTGTGTGCAGACCAGAGGTCAATGCTGGGTGTCTTCCTCAATCACTCTCCATGTTATATACTGAGGCAGGGTCTCTCACTGAACCTGTAACTTTCCAATTTGGCTAGTCCAGGCAGCCTGCTTGCTCCTGTCTCTGCCTCCCAAATGCTGTGTGTGATGGCTAGAAGACTGTCACACCCACTTGGCATTTAAATGGGTCCCGGGGAATCTCAACTCTGGTGTTCATGTTTGCCTGGCAAGCACTTTACCCAGGGGGTCATCTTCCTGGCTCCATCTTCCTTTTAACTTGGATACAGGGCCTCATTCTGTAGCCCAGACTGGCCTAGAACTCACTATGCAGCTCAGGCTGACTTCAGACTTGGTGATCCTCCTGCCTCAGCCTCCCAGGTTGTGAGATTACAGGTGTAAGCCACTTTCTCCTAGCCCTCTCCTTTTGGAGTCAGTCTGTGCCTTCAGATGCACATGCTGTGTGTTTTGGGCTTGGCAACAAGGTCATCCATATCAGCTCATGAGTCACCAGATGAGAGAATCTCTCTTACTCAGGTGTGAAGCATTAACCAACCAGTTTGGCCCATGCTCCAAAGGCACTCTGTCCGTATGGAAAGTCATTGGCTAATTCCCATCGGTTCTCCAATTCAGTAGGAAGGATTGTTATGATGGAAAAGGTTTCTCTTAGGCCTCCACATCAGGACACTCCCATGAGGCCACAGCTTCCATCCACACTTTGGAGGTGCCCATCAATCATCCCGCCCATCATGGGGACATTTCAACTGAGACACGGGTGAGAGGGAGTGACACTCACATTAGCCTCTGCAGGCCACACTTAGAGCTCATCAGGGCATCACAGAGGGACTTCATGCTGTCCTCGGCCACCTTATTTCTTGCCAGGCTAAGAGATTTTAGGCTGGTGGATGAATTAAGGAGCTGGGACACCATCGGATAACAGGTGTTACTTAGTTCACAGGAGTCCAATCTGTAGAGAGAGATAGCGTGAGATAGAGACCATTCCCAGGGTAACCCTTCCCTCACTCAGCTCCTCCCAAGTGGGAGGTATGTGCACACACACAGTTTTGGGTTTTTTTCCCCCTCATCTTCTAGCAGCCTGTCAACATTACCAACCAGCACACCACACCCCCGGGAACTTAGTAGTTATAAACGCAATAGGATATCTGTATTTGCTAAATGAAAAAGTGCTAGGCTGGTGAGATGGCTCATTGTATAAAATGCTTGCCACCAACCCTGAAGACCAGAGTTTGATCCCCAGGATCCACACGGTGGGGAGAGAGCACCAACTCTTTCAAGTTGTTTTTGAATCATCACTTGTGCTGTAGCATGTATGGATGCACACACAAAGTTATAAATTATAATTTAAAAAGCAAAGGAAGCCAGGCTGGAGAGATGGCTCAGAGGTTAAGAGCACTGGCTACTCTTGTAGAGGACTCGGGTTTGATTCCCAGCATCCACATGGTGGCTAACAACTGTTGGTAACTCCCGTTCTGGGAGAATCAGACACCTTCTGACCTCCGCAGGCATTGCACGACAAGGTGTGTTTACACACATGCAGGCAATACACTCAAACATAAAAGAAAAATATTTAAAAAATGCTAACTCAACATGCTTTGATATAAACCCCTCATGATGCAGCCCAACCTACATTTCAAAGTCATTTTCTGTTTAGAGAGTTCACTGTAGTTTTGTAACCATTAGAAGAAACTTCCTGAAGGATACATGTGACCTCTCTGCATTTTGAGGTAGGGTCTCACACAGCCCAGTTGGCCTTAGACTTGCTATGTAGCCGAGGATGACTCTGAACTTCTGCTCCTCCTGCCTTTACCTCCTGAGTGCTGGAATTGCAGATTTTAACCACTACACCTGGTTTTGTGCAGGGATGGGAATTGAAATTATGACTTCGTGCCTGGTAAAGTGAGCACTCCACGGACACATCTCCAGATACTGCTACTTTTTTGAGATAGGATTTTGCTAGATAGCCCAGACTGGTATCGAACTCACCAACCCCTTGACTCATGCTGGATTACACGTATATACCATCCTGGTCAGCATGAAATATTTGTTTTTAATCTTTTAAAAACATTTTTTATTTTATGTGTATGAGTATATTGCCTGCATGTGTTACACACAGTACGACCATGTTGTGCAATGCCCATGGAGGTCAGAAACAGACATCAGATTCCCTGGAACTGGGGTTATGGGCAGTTGTTGGCCACCATGTGGGTGCTGGAAATCAACCTGGGACCTCTGTAAGAGCAGTCAGTGCTCTTAACCACTGAGCCATCTCTCCAGCCCCTTATAACCTTTATTTCAATTTAAAAAATTGAATTTTTGTGTACTTTATACATCTTGATCATATTTAGACCCCCTCCCCTATCTGCACTCCCCCAGAGCCTTCCCTGGATTTCATGCATTCTGTCATGTATGTTAAGGCCTATTGAGCCAAGTTTGTGTCCCCAGATGCCCTTTGGTGCGAGTTAATCCACTGGTGCCTGGTCAACCTATATAGCATCACTCCCTAAGGAAGACCAAGTCTCTCTCACCCAGCAGTGATCAGTTGCCAATAGCTCTTCAGCTAAAGTTGGGACTTCTTATCCTATTCCAACTTCAGTGCTGAGTTTTTATCTGGTTTGGGTTTGCATAGGTTTGTACATGCTGTCACCATTGCTGTAAGTTCATACAGGCAAGTTTCCAGTCGCCTGGAGAACTTTTTCCCTGCAGTCATCCACCACCTCTGGCTCTTACAGTCTTTCTGCCCCTTCTTCCACATATTTTTAACCTTTTAAAAACATTTGCATGCATGTGCAAGCATGTTTGTGTGTGAGGGTATGTGTGCATGCTATGGCACACAAGTGGAGGTCAGAGGACAATGTCCAGGAGTTAGTTCTCTCTTTTCACTATGTGGGTTCTGGGACTAAACTCGGTCATCAGGCTATAGGCAGTAAGTACCTTGCCTGCCGAGCCATCTTATCAGGTCCTTTAAAAAATTTAAAAGATTTTTTAGCCAGGCATAGTGGCACACGCCTGTAATCCTAGAAGTTGGGAGGCAGAGGCAGGTGAATCTCTGTGAGTACAAGGCCAGCCTGGTCTATATAGCGAGCTCCAGGCCAGCTGGGGCTACAGGGAAACCCTACCTCAAAGAGACCAAAAAAAAAAAAAGATTTTTATTTTAAGGATACACCTGTCTCTGTGTGTATGCAGCCTGTGTACAAGTGCCCGCAAGGACCATAAGAGGGCATCAGACCCCTGGATCTGGCAGTTGTGAGCTGCCCAGTGTGGGTGTTGGGAAGTGAACTTGGGTGCTTTGTAAGAGAGGCATGGGCTTGTAATCAAAGGCCATCTTCCAGCCCCACTCACCCTGTTTTTAATCTTTATGAAACCCAAATGTTTTAATGTGGCAAAGCATTTGTAACTTCAAATTTATTTGAAACATAATCTGCTGCCATGAAGCCTATCAATATCACCATAACCATCCACCTCTAGCAGTTTCCCATCTTCCTGATTCTCTAATATTTTTGCAACTCTCTTGGAATAATTCCCACATCACAAATAAAAGCAAAATGCAGAAACCATAGCCAAGTCTCACCTCAGAGTCTCCAGGAAGCACTTTGGATGTCTCAGGGCGTTACAGGCCATCTTAACATCCTCTTCCCTCAGGAGTGTGCTCCCCAGGTTGAGGTATTTTAAGTTACGATTGCTAATGAGGGTCATCCAGAGATACTGCAGGCCGGGGGCCACCTCTGCACTTTTAAACCTGCAGAAAAGAGGGAAATGACAAGTATAGTTGCACCCTAATTATTTTCTCACCCTTCTACAACTCCACTCTCAGGTCTGTAATTATTCACATTTAACTTTTTCTTCAGACAGACTCTCACACAGTCCAGGCTGATCTTGAACTTCTAATCCTCCTGCCTCACCTCCCAAGTGCTGGGGTCACAGCCCAGTGCTATCTCACGTATCCCAGGCTGGTCTAGTTGACCTTTAATCTTTTTCAATTCTTTTAAAAAAGAAGAGAGAGAGAGAGAGGGAGAGAGAGAGAGAGAGAACGAATGAGCACTCACTCATGTATGTTTATGTGAGTAGTGAAGAGGGTCTCAGATCCCTGGGAGCTGGAGTTACAGTCTGGGAACTGAACTCCAGTTCTCTGCCAAGAGTAGCAAGTGCTCTTAACTGCCAAGCCATCTCTTCAGCTCCTGACCTTTAACTTGAACTTCTGCCTCCACTTCCCAAGTGTTAGGTTTGTAGTCATGTGCCACCACATATATAGTTCATGGGTATATGTGATTTAACAATCAAACCTGGACTTTAGTGCATGCTAGGCGAACATTCTACTGATCGAGCCACTTCCGCAGCTTGATTTGAATTTAATTTTACAGCAAACCAAAATATACCAGGCCCTCAAAATGGCATATTAAGAGCCTAGTCTCGGGGCGCTCTATCTAGAGGGACATCTGACAGTCAAACGGAAGATTTATGCTGCATTAAGGTCCTTTGAGAATCAGTGGACTCTACCTCTAGGTGCAAGCATGCCCTTGTCTCCTCCCTTAAAGGTCAATCCAATTTCCTACATCAGGGACCTTGATAGGGGACCACCGCTAGGAAGGGAGGTCTACCTTAAGATAATGTGCTTTTCCTTCCCAGAATTTCCACCCCCTATTGCAGGCCCTGGGAGCTGCCATGAGGTTTGAAAGGTGTAACACCTTTTCTTTTGGATGATGGCCAGAGCCCAAGTATGCTTTTAAACTTTAAACTCCCATATGATAGCTTTGGGCTTCCTTTAATAATTTTCTAAAGCTCCCCTTCCTTCTATGTCACTACAGCACAGCTGTCTTCCTTGTCCTATTCTCCCCCTGCACTGGAGAGAGGGCTCAGTGGTCAACAGCACTGGCTGCTCTTGTAGAAAACCTGGATACAGTTCCCAGCACCTGCATGGCAGCTAACAACCATCCTTAACTCCAGTTCCAGGGGATCTGATGCTCTCTTCTGACCTCTGTGGGCATTGCATGACATGGGTGCACTTACATTCATGCAGGCAATACACTCATACACATAAAATAAAAATAATATTTTATTCTCCTTCCTTCCAGACAACTGAGATTTACAGCTTGCATGACCTGGGGTTTTCCTTTTAAACTCAAATCACTTGTCCTCAAGCTTCTGTTTGTGTCCATTCTTGCACCCTTTTATCAATGTGACTAACAACTCTGAGAGGGGCTCTGATTTCCCAGGTGTCATAGGATGACTGTGCCAGAGACTCCAAGATTTCCAGTAACTTCTTTCCTGCCTTTTAATTCTTTAATTGGAGGAGAAAATCTGTTTCTGCACCCCTACACACCATCAGCAAGATTTGGATTAGGAAACATATGCACAGCAATATGCACTATGATCACATGGAGAAAGAACTTGCAGAAACTGGGGGAAGATGGGAAGGTTGGATGTTCAGGAGGGGGCTCAGAGACCATGCCTAGCTTTCCCTCTGTGATTCTGAAGGTCTGATGTCATTTTGTGTTATTATTGCATCATATGTAGTGAGACCACTGTCAGTAAGAACTGGAAGTTCAGCAGGACCTTGCAGTGGGACAGCTAGTGGAGTATGGAGATGGTTCCAAGGCGGGGGGGGGTTGTTTAATATGACAATGGAAGGGGGCTCGGGAGATGGCTCAGTTAAGTTCCTGCCTCGCAAGCACAAATGACTTGCGTATGATCCCAAGAACCCATGCTATTTACTCATGTGAACTCACAGCAACGGTGACATTAGACAAAACACCAGCACAGACCTGAAGACGTGGGTAAGAAATCCCAAGCCAACCCAAGGAACTTCTGGCAATGGATGGCTGCTGGGAGGGAGAGACACAGTACCTTACAGGGATGGGACTTTTGGTGGGCCCGATGAATGGATCCACACTGAAGGACATTGGGGGACACAAATCAGACTATAGGTCATACTATATGAAACTCGGCTGGGGGCAGAGGAGGGAGGCGGGGAGAAGGGAGCAGATCTAAATACCATCAAAGTGTATTGTATGAAAATAGCAAAAATTCAACAAATGAAAAAAGACATTGTGTACATGTAATTTTCAAAAAATAATTAATTCTTTTAAAAGAAAAATAAAAAACCTGGGTGTGGTTGTGTGTGTTTGTAATCCCAGTGCTGGTGGGGGGGGGGGGCAGGAGGATTCCTGAGGCTCACTGGCCTGCCAGTCTAGTTTACATGGTGTGTGTCAGGCCATTAAGAGACCCTGTCTCAAAAAAACAAGACAGTGCCTGCGAGAACACCCAATGCTGTTTTCTAATCTCCATATGCATGTTCATGTGCACCTGCACACATACTAGCATACATATAAAGATAACAACTGAAGCCAGGTATGGGTGGTGTACACCCATAATTCAAGCACTTGGGGGGCTGAAGCAGGAAGACTTCAAGTTTGAGGCTAACTGGAGTTAAACAGTGACTTCAAAACACCCACTCATCAACCAAAAGGTAACAGAAATAAGTCAAGATTGACATAGGGGGCTGGGGAGATGGCTTAGCAGTTAAGAGCACTTGCTGCTCTTGCAGAGGATCTGGGTTTGGTTCCCAACAACCACACGGCAGTTAACAACTGTCTGCAACTCCAGTTCCAGGGTACTCAATGTCACTTCCTGGCCTCCAAAGGCAGTGTACTCACATGGGTGCACATGCATACCTTCAGGCAAAACATACATACACATCAAATAAATCTTTAAAAAGATCGACACGGAGTCAAGGGATGAATCCTTATTCTGGAACCAAATTCCAAAGTACAACCCGGAGTTCAGAAACTATTTAGGGGAGAGTAGCAGAGCATTAGCAACCAAGAACTTAATCGGCTCCAAGTTGGATGTCATCTGAACTTCCCTCTGGCTGGGAAGGAAAAGTAAAGCACCGAACTTTTTGTCTGAAGTACAGCTGACATTTCTTTCCCTATCCCACCAAACGCCGACGTCTGCAGCAGACTGAAGGTTCTATTAGGTACCCGCGTGCTTGTAAGCTCTCCACGAGCCTAAAGGCATTAAGGAATGATTAAAGAAAGGCATATCCGTCATGCACTTTGACCTATGACCTCATGCTCTACTAGTCAGCCTGAAAAGTGCTCCTTTCCAACTTCTCCTTCAAAACCCAGAGTGAATAAACCTGCTTGAATACATCTATGAACCTCTAAGGTCTTTTGTCAGCCTGCATACTGTCCTTCTACGAACATGGTTCATGTATCTTATCACATGATAAGCAGTTATCTCCTTGTAATACACCGGTAGAGTTATGGATGGATCTTCTCTTAGCAGGAGAAGCCATAGGAAGGGATTTAAAATTAATTTTTTAATTTTTATTTTGTGTGTATGATGACTGTTACGCCTGCATGTATGGGCACCTGTGTCATGCAATGCCCACAAAAGACAGAAGAGGTGGTCAGATCCCCTGGAACTGAAGTTATGGATGATTGTTAGCTGCCATGTGAGCACTGGGATTCAAACTCACGTGCTCCACAGCAGCCAGTGCTCTTAACCGCTGAGACATCTCTGCAGTCCTAAGATTGTTTTAAAATCAGTTCTCTGAGAATTTCATATGATGTATGTCGATTATATTCACCTTTTCCCTAATTCCTCCCAGCTCCACCCCACTTCCCTATCCACCCAAGTTTGTATCCTCCTTTCAAAATTTTTAATTTATTTTTATTTAATGTGTATGAGTGTTTTGCCTGCATGTTAAATACACCCCTGTCATGCAATGCCTGCAAAGGCCAGAAGAGGGCATCAGATCCCCTGGAATTGGAGTTATTGATGGTGGTTAGCCACCATGTGGGTGCTGGGAATCAAACCTGGGTCCTCTCCAAGGGCAGCCAGTGCTCTTAACCACTGACCCCATTTCTCCAGTTCCCCTTAACCTTTTTTTTTAAACCCTCAAATCCAATTTGTGCTGCCCATATACTCTTGGGTGTGTGGTCATCCACTGGAGTATGGTCAACTCACCAGGGCCACACTCTTAAAGACTGACTTTTCCTCCCAGCAGCTGTCATTTGCCAATAGCTCCTCAGTCAGGGATGGGATATCCTGCCCACCTCCCCTCTCTATGTTGGGATTTTGTCTGGCTTGTGCATGCATGAGTCTTTGTGAATGCCTTCACAACTGACATGAGTTCATATGTATACCTGCCTTGTATAAGGAAAACTGTCTCCTTGCAGCCATCCACCACCTCTGCCTCTTAGAACATTTCTACCTCTTCTTTCATAAATGATCCCTGAGCCTTTGGAGGAGAGGAATCCAGCTCTCATGGGAAGGATTTCTTCTTACCAGGGCTGGGTGGTACTTACGTCAGGTTCTGTATTTTACAGGCTGGGTGTCTCAGTTGGATGCATAGAGTCTTCATAGCCCACTCACTCAGGATGCTGCTGCCCAAGTGCAGCTGCTCCAAGTTCGGGTGGCTGCCCAGCACGGAGCAGAAATTTTCCCACCATTCAACAATGAGGGCTTTCCGTTCTGTCCTGTGTGAGAGAGAAAAAACAAGTGTGTGATTGCATAGATGGATCTGAACACGAGTGACTGCCACAGCAAGGTCACAGGAGAAAGACCAGCTTTGTTAAGGGCGGGCTTAGAAGATGAGGCCAGCTCAGTGGGTGCTGCTCGGTGTTCTGCAGGAACCAGCCCTATATCCAGCCTCCCTTGATATGTCAATTTCCTCTGTGTGTATGCTGGAATAATGGAGAGTCATCAGCCCTCTCAATAACAAGTCTCCTTCATCCTAGCTCCCTCAGGGGTAAAATGGTGTAGTTGTGTTCTGGTATGGCATTTTTAAAAAGATTTGTTTTATTTAAAAAATAATTTTCATGTGTGTGTCTGCATGTGGGTATGTGTGCAGAGCCTGTGGAGGCCAGAAGAGGGCATCAGATTCCCTTGAACTGGAGTTAACAGGTGGCTGGGAGCTGCCCCATGTTGTTGCTGGGAATCAAACTGGGGTCCTATGCAAGAGCAGCAAGCCCTCTTAACTGCTGAGTCATCTGTCTGGCCTTGGGTTTTTTTCCCTCTGGATATAGGATTATCTCATCACTATCTTGGAGTAGAGATTAGCACTTCCTGGTAGTCACATCAACTAACTGAGCAGACCAATGCAACTATAGCCAGGTCTATAGGTACTGAGTGAGTGATGCTCCCTAATTAGGAGGCGGTTCATAAACCCTCACCTGGGACTCTAGCTCTGACTTCCTGCCCTCCCTCAGGTATCAGTGATGTCTGTTGGGAGATAGTAGAGTATGGGAGAAGTGGAAGATGGCTTCAATGAGGTCATCATGACAGGTGAGGCTTTGCAGTGATGGAGCAGTTTGGGGGTCACCCATGGTCCTGTAAGTAACCCTCATGTTCTGTAAGCAAGTCCAATAGACTCATTAGTTCACTAAGTTGGACTGTGTTGGAAACTCTGGTCCGTTGTTGCTTCCCTATCTGGGGTAAATAAACGTTTGTTTATGTCTATGCACAAGCTGCTATGAAGACAGCATGCAGGTCCCTCAAGAAAAATTAAAACAGAACTACATCACGAACCACTGTTCCCACTTCTATGTCTTGTTAGAACACTTGCCTGTCCCTTTAAGACACTGGAAATGCTTTAAAGGTCAGGTTCCACAGCCTGAAAGAAACTAGGCCATAGCCTCTGTGACTCTCTCTGGGACAGAGTTCAGAAGTGATCTGTGAACAGGGTGTAGTGGCACATGCCTTTAATCCCAGCTTTTGGGAGGCAGAGATCAAGATTAGCTTGGCCTACGTAGAGAGTTCCAGGCCAACTGGGGCTATAAGGAGACCCTGTCTCAGAGAAAACCAAACAACAAAAAGAAGTCTGTGCTGTGACCTGACAGCTCTCAGTGGTACCTGATTCCTTCATGCTTTTTGTCAAGTATGCTATGTTGAGGTCTATTGAGTCAAACTTGTGACCCCAAGTGTCCTTCAGTGTGGGTCCATCCATTGGAGCCTCAAGATATGATAGTGTAAGTCTGTCATCTTAGCGCTTGGGAGGTTAAGGCAGGAGATAGCTCAGTGGGTAAAGGTGCCTGCTGCAAAGCCTGATGATCTGAATTAGATCCCTTGAGCCTTCATGGTGGAAGTCTCCTTGAACTCCCCTACGTTGTCCTCTGACTTCTACATACACACTGTGGCATGTAAATGCCGATACATATACACACAGTAAATAAAGATAATTAAAAAATTTGAGAGTCAAATATCTGGAGACTCAAGTGGTGGAGTCACTGGAGACTGGGTAGAAGGGAAGAAGTTGGTCAAAGGTCACAAATCTCAATCAGGAGGAACAAACTTGGTAATCAGTTGTATATCGTAGTGACATTTAATGTATTCTATATCTTAAAGTTGATAAAAGAGTCATGTTTTTTCTTTTTTTGTTTAAAAAACAATAGGGGCTGGAGAGATGGCTCAGTGATTAAGAGAACTGATTGCTCTTGCAGAGGACCCAGATTTGATTTCTAGTACCCACAACTGTTTATGACTCCAGTCCCAGGGAATCTGACCTCCATGGGCATTGCACAACATGGGTGCACTTACATGCATGCAGACCATACACTCATACACAGAAAATTAAAATAATAAAAGAAATAAAATTTAAAAAGCCAAAATCTGCTGGGTGTGGTGGCACTCATCTTTAGACCCCGCACTTGGGAGGCAGCGGCAAGCAGATCTCTGTCAGATTGAGGCCAGCCTGGTCTACATAGTGAGTTCCAGGACAGCTGGGGCTATGGGGAGATCTTGTCTTGAAAAGCATCCCTCCCCGGAAAAAAGCCAAAATCTCCACAATACAAAAGAAATGAACTGAAAGGGAATAAAATTAAAGTTTTACTTCCTCAGCCTCATCACATTTTAAGGGCTTGATAGGGTTATGGCGGCTACCATATTGGACAAGGTATTCTGGAACATTTTATCAGTGAATAGAGCATTATGCAAGCTTTACAGTATGTAAATAGTGATTATATTGACAGAGCTTAAAAAACATACCTCACATATTCCAATGTTTCAAACCCAAATTCTTGCCTTTTGCAGTACTGAAAGAGACCCAGTGTTTGTTTTCAGACAGGGTCTCATCTATTCTAGAACTCTCTATGGAGCCTGAACTTCTGATCCTTTTCCCTCTGTAACCGAGCTGTCAGGGATGAGAGTATTTTTTAAGATTTTATTTTTATTTGTTTGTATGTGTGTTGTGTGTGTGCTTGTGTACATGACACATGAGCACAGGTGTCTGCAGAGGTCAGAAGAGGACATCCGATTCCCTGGAGCTAGAGTTACAGGTGGTTGTGAGCTGCCCAACATGGGTGCTGGGAACTAGACTTGGGCCTCTTGGAAGAGCAGCAAGTGCTCTGAACCACTGAGTCATTTCTGTAGTGTTGATGAAGGTATCGAGACACTTGTATCTCTCAATTTGACTATCAGACTATTGCAACAATGGTCCATAAGAAACTAGAATTTCCCCAGGAATTTACTGCTGGGAGAAGAAAAAAGCTAAAGCCTGGTGCCAGAAGGTCCGTGGCGAGACCACAGCTTGACAGGTTACTCGGAGGTGCATGTTCCCTGCCCTCCCTATGCATTTTAATCTCTCTTCAAAACCCACAAAGATGGACTTGAGGGGCAGTGAGTGGATCTCTTTTGACCCTCCCTCTAATGTGGCCACATTGAATACATCACCTTTTTCCTGCATTTTACTATTAATTTGGCTGTTCTAATGGACTTACTGAAGACAGATTGCTAAACCTGGCTTCATGGGGCACAGACTGTGACCCCAAGTTCAGCAATACCTGTCCCTCCTAAATTCTGGGATTGTAGGATTGCACTACCACATCCAGGTTATGTAGGGCTGGGGATCGAGCCCCAGGCTTTATGCGTGATGAGCAAGCACACTACCAAGTGAACTTCCTCACCAGCCTGGGACTCAGTGTTTTGAAAGGGTTTATCGAGTGGCTGACCATAAATCAGACTCAAGTTAGCCAGTGATTGGTCCTGAAAGAGCCACCTGGGGGACCTGATGCTTCTTTTTTAAATTAAAAAAATTTTTATGCATATGAGTGTATTGCTTGCATGTATGTAAGTACACCTGTGTCGGCAATCCCTGCGGAGGTCAGAAGAGGGCATCAGATTCTTCTGGAAGTGGAATTATGGATGATTGTTAGCCACCATGTGGGTGCTGGGAACCAAACCTGGGTCCTCTGCAAGAACAGCCAGTGCTCTTAACCGCTGAACCATCTCTCCAGTCCCATGAACCTGGTGTTTGTTAAGTTATGTCAAAACCCAGTAACAGGAATGCAAAAACTAGGAAGGGGTGTTGGGTAAAATCACCCAAGGTACTCACCTCTGGGGAGCCATGGGGCACAGTTCGGCAGTCTTATCCACTGAGAAGATGTCTTTGACATCCACCCGGATTTTGCGCAAATTCTGACAGTGTTGGAGACAGAAAGAAGATACCATCAAGTCCATTCTCCGGCTAACCGTAAGCCACACTTCCTGGAAGCTGTTCAGAGACAAGCTAACAAACTCTTTATCCTGAGTCTCATACAGATAGTGGAAGGCGTTCAACACATCCACCTGGGTGGAGGTGGTGTTGACCTGCTGACCCAGCAGGGACACCCATCGCCAAAGCTTTTGCTTCACGGCGGGGGACACAGGACGTCCAAGGAGAAGCTCTAAGGCCTTCATTGTGTCTTTGTTCACGAGGCCAAATAAGAACTGCTTCATCCTGAGGAGGTGGGCGTTGGAGCCCGTTTGCTGCAGCTCCGTGATGCCCCGTAGGTTTTTAATGAACAGAAAGTAGTAATCCCATCTTTCCAGGCCTTCCAAAACATAATATAGGGCAGCACAAAAGTCCTGTAGGCTGAGGTGGAAGAAAGTAAAGCATCGTTCACCACGGTCCTCATGGAGAAGGATGTTCATGTGAAACAGTGCGCGGAGCTCAGATTCCTTTAGCCCGTGGGACCTCAGGTCATTACTGTAAAACACAGACCTCATGTTCCACACCCCCTCTACAGCCATCCTGCATAAACCCATCAGGGAGACTCGCTCTTCCTGACTCAGACAGCTCTGGAAAGGATCTCTCGGGGTGAGCTGGTGGAACACAAAAGTGGTGTACAAGCCTGTAAGAGTCTGGTGACAAGGGGCACAGCTCCTTCCCAGTCTCTCCTGCAGCTGCAGAGCCTCACAGACCAGCAAGCACACTGAAGGGATCTGGCACTGGTCAAACAGCTGGTGGTTGTCCATCACTGAATGGAAGACTTGTGCCTTTCGATGGTCACTGGCGATGTGTGAGAGGAGTAGCTGCGTCCTTTCCTTGCAGGACATTCCTTCGACCAATATGTACTGGGGAGACACCACTGCTGACTTGAGCTTTTCTAAGCCTGTGTCTCTGGTGAGGATCATGAGGAAGGACTCAGGGAGCAGAGCCTTCTTCAGCAAGCTGTACATCAGGATGGATACAAGCTGTTCTCTATTCCAGTCTCCACACAGCCTTGTGTCATCATGTATGGTGGTAGAGTCCAGATCATCAAAACTATCCACCACAAACAAGAGTCTTTCAGGTTGGGACATGATCTGTGCCACTGGAGCCTGGGAGTTTGGCCACTCCCTGGCAATCAACTTTGCAAAACTGCTTTCTTCTGTCCACTTCATTTCTCTAGTGGAGAGGACGATGATGTAGGAGAACATGTCTTGGTAGAGTTCACCCTGTGCCCAGCCCAGCACGATCCTTCTGGCCAAAGCTGACTTCCCGATTCCTGATTTTCCATGCAGAACGACAGTGTGAGGTTGGAAGCCCTTCTGGTCTGGCTTAAAAGCATCCAACAGTATTTGAATGTCTGGGCTGTCATGGTGGACTTCCACACTGGTCTTGAGTTTAGCCACCATGTGGGCTTTGTAGTCTTGTTGATCACCTCCATGATCAGGTAAGAGAGGGCAGAAGAAGGAAGTTTTACTTTCAGTAAAATTAACATATCTGTTTGATGAGTATAATTAATAACATTCAACATCTTATAAAAGATGGGAGGAATCTAAAGGGATTTACCATAAAGAAAGGATAAAGTTTAAGGTGAGGAATACACTAATTGCCATTTATTGAACAATATTATATGTATATATGCATAAAACATTCTTAGCATGTGTCAATTCTCTCTCCCTCCTTCCCTTCCTCCCTCCCTTCCCTTAAATCAGATAGTCTATGTGCAAGGACTTGCTACTTTTTTTTGACACAGAGTTTCATATAACCCAGGCTGGCCTCAAACTTTCTATATAGCTAAGAATGACCCTGAACTCCTGATTTTCCTGCTTCTCCATCCTAAGTGCTGGGCTTACACAGGCATGCATCGTGTGGTGCTGGGATTTGAACCCCGAGGCTTTGTGCATGGTAGCAAGCACTTTACCCACCGTCCAAGTTTGCTTCTTTGGAATGATGTACTATTAATGATCACCATCCTTTATTTCTTTCATGATCCATTTCCCCTCAGAATTTTCTGAGCATTCCACAAAAGAGCTGTATTTGTTTAAGTGGATTCTTGTCTTAACCCTAAGACCTGTTAGGCTCCATTTTACTTTTTACTCTGCTGTAGACTCCAAACGTTGGCTATTCTCAATCACTGCTGGGTCTTCAGTGTTTACAACAGGTCTGGTGCCTTGTGGCTGCTAAGATATTTAAGTTAGAGATTTATATCAAACCCTCAAATGTAGTCTCTGAAAACAGATGCTTGGGGAGCTGAGTATGTGAGCCCCATGGCTTAACATTTTAGAAGTATAGGGTCAGCATGCATCCCAAGCTCTACCCACAGGCAAGGGGGATTCTGACCTACATAAAAGGAAAATAATGTCCTTTGAATTCATAGCCTGCTAGGTATTCAGGCATTGCTGTGGGGTACCTGTGTGACTGGAGATAAACTGTCAATTCCCTGGGTTGCTCTGCCTATAAGATTAACATCCTCCCCTATGTTTATGATAAATATTTAAGAAAGAGGGCCAAATATATAGCTCAGCAGGTAAAGGTGCTTGCTGCTAAGCCTGATGACTTGAGTTCGAGTCTCAGGACTCATATGGTGGAAGGAGAGAATCAACTTCCTTGAGTTTTTCTCCATATGTACACCCTGGCATGTGTGCACATCCACACACAGACACACACAAAATAGAAAAGGCTTAAGAATGAGCCAAAAATGTTGAAAGTATTTGGGAGCTTGTATCTAATGCTTAAAAGATTTTAGGGTTACCTCTTCAGAGGGGGGAATGTTAGAGTAGCCAAAAGCCCCATAAAAATAAATAAATCAAAGAAGAAGAAAGAGTACATGAAGTTATCAGGAAAAAGTGATAGAGAGATATGGGAGGAGTTGGAGGGGAGGGAGTAAGTGTGGATTTGATCAAAACACCTTATATGCATGTATGAAATTCTCATTAAACTATTTTTTTTTAAAGAATGAGCTTTCGACATTTAAGAAGGCAGGGCTTGGGAAACATGTCTTAACACAAACCATACCTCTTCTGTTTTACCTTGTTTAACTTTGATCTCAGGCACTATCATAAGCTGCAATTTCTTGATGCAGTTGTTACCTTACAATGTAAGCTCCTTACATTTTTACTTCATCCCAACCAACCACAACAACAGTCTGACATCTAATAGCTACTCAATGGAGAAATCTACATACTAAGACCTTCAACTATCTGGTTCCATCATTATCTTAAAAAAAAAGCAGAATAGTTCTCTCTGGACAAAAAAGTCACACAATCACTCCATACAAATCTGATAGACCAAAGTCACAGGAAACATCTTGAGATTTTCACATGTGTGCATGCGCACATGTATGTGTGCACATGTGGATGTATGCACACATGGGCGTGTATAAGTAGAGGGCAGAGGAAAACCTTGGGTGACATTCCTTAGGCATTTTTCACTTCCTGTTTGAGACAGGAGCCACAGTGCTCATAATGCTGAACCATCTCTCCAGCACTTCCAACCAAAAATTCTTAGCACTGTTTCTATAAGATATAAAAGTTTCTATCTGTGAGTTAACTGATCTCATTATTCTGTAAATAAGTCTATAAGCAAATAAGCCTTTTCTGGCCTGGAATTTTTCCCAGTAGGCCAGGCTGGCTGATCAGTGAGCCCCAGGGATCTACCTGCCTTCCCTTCCAATCCTACTGTTACTGGGGTTACAAGCACACACCACAATGCCAGCTTTTTATGTGGCTTCTGCAGATCTGGACTTGGGTCTTCATGCTTGCAAGGCAAGCACTTTTCCTTGAGATCATTAACTCTGAACTTGGATTGACATGGTATCCTCATGCTTGAGGATTAGCTATCCTTGCAGATTCAGGTCTTAATCGAGGGTGGGAGAGCTCCAGAAAGAAAGTCTGCAGTTAAACCCAGCCTTCTTTGATTCTTTCCCAGTAACCCACAGGGATGTCATATTCAAAGCATCAAAAACTCATTTCAGGATGGGGACAGAGCTGAGTAGTGGGGTGTTTGCTTAGCACAAGCACTGGTCTGAGTTCCCGATCCCCAGAGGTGAAGTTGCGTGGAGTTTCATGGAACTGTCTGGATGGATGGAATTGGCAATCACTGTATTAAGTGAAATAGGCCAGATTTAGACAAATTAGGATCCCCTGGGACTGGAATTACAGGTAGTTGTGAGCACCTGATATGGATGCCGGGAATAGAACCTGGGTCTTTTTTTAGGAGCAGCAAGTGCTCATAATGCTGAACCATCTCTCCAGCCCGCCCCCCAACCAAAAAGTTTAATTATTGTTTCTTTTTTGGTCTTTTTTTTGAGACATGGTCTCCCTGTAGCCCCAGCTGGCCTGAAACTCACTGTGTAGACCAGGATGGCCTGGATGTCACAGAGATCCACCTGCCTCTGCCTCACGAGTGCTGGGATTAAAGGCATGTACCACCACACCCAGCTTATTACTGTTTCTGTAAGACATAAGTTTCTATCTGAGTTGACTGTGAATTAGCTATTGATCTCATTCTGTAAATAAGTCTAATTTTGGCTCCTATCAATCTTCTATGACATAGAAGATTCTATGGATAAAATGGGGGATATTAATTCCTCTAATAAGGCTGGTGACCAGGTGTTCTGACAATCAATCATACGACATGCAGCACAGCACCTGACCCATAGTGAATGTTCTAGAAATGTCATCAATATTTACATTTAGTATAGATCCCAGTTGAAAGTGATATTCTAGAAATGAGTAGTTTTTTCAAATATTGTCTGGATGAATGATTAATTCACACAGGTCAACATGCTTGTTTGCCAATGGATAAAGGCCCAGCCTGCCGTGACTGCAGAATTTGGAACTTTAGTCATGACTCACTGTCAAAGCAGAAACCAGGGAGCAGCTCTGAGAGCCTCTTTTCTGAACTGGCCAGATACTTGCTTGGTTCTACTAATCTTACAGCATGATTATCTCACACAAGTCCCATTACTGGTTTCTATCACTGGCTCTCTGAACAAAGTGTTTATAGCAGATTAGTTACGAGAGACAAATGTGTAAAGAGGAGATGAAGAGATGGCTCAGTGGTTAAGAGCACTGGCTGCTCTTGCAGAGGACCTGTGTTCAGTTCCCAGCACCCACATGGCAGCTAACAACCGTCCATAACTCCAGTTGCAGGGGATCCAATACCCTTTTCTGGCCTCCATAGGCAAAACATTCATACAGACCCCTCCCCCACACAAAACAATGACAGCAGCTCAAAATCCCACCAACTGGAGAATGGGAAAGACAATATGGTATGTCCATACAGTAGATTATTATAAGGCAACAGAAGGAATTTTATAAAGAAATTTAATTCAGTCATTCAGGAAACTGGAGGGAGCTGGCAATCACTCTGCTAAGTGAAGTAATCCAGACTCAGAAAGGTAAAGCAAATATTGCATGTTTCTCTCTAGATTTTAATTTTTTTTGGTTGTATGATGAAAAAGACCATAAGGAAGGAAGAGGAGATCTTAAGTAGGGGAAGGAAGAAAGGGTAAAGGTAGTAACAATGCAAATAACAAGTAACATGCAAGGAGAAGTGGGGGGGCTGTTGGGTGAAGGGGACCAGCAAGAGAGGCAGGAGGATAGGGGTGACAGTTGGTGAGGAGCACAAACAAGATCAATATGGGTCTGGGGATGTGACTCAGAGTGCTCACCTAGCATGCATGAAGCCCTGTGTTCAGTCCCTGGAACCATGAATGCCGGGGGCGGGGGGCTCATGACTATAATCCCAGCACTCAGGAGCCAGAGGCAGGAGATAAGTTGTTCAAGGGCATCCTCAACTACACACACAGTTTGGGGCCAGCCTGCACTACGTGAGTCTCCACCCTTCCCTGAGAATCTACAGGCAATTAATAGTTACTAGGGGAGAGACAGACATTTTCTTCAGATGTTGTTACTCTGGTAAATTGCTCATGTTCCTGAAAGCAACCCTAGTTAAGCTCACTGGGTCACCAAAAAAGAAAGAAGGGAGCCCAATTGTATGAAAAAGCATAATAAATATATGCCAATAAAACCATCCAAGAAAAAAGATACAGCTAAACCCATTAGTTTGTGTAAAAATGTAAATTTAATTAAAATTAAAATTTATATTTTAAAAAGTTTTTATTTTTATTTTGCATGCATGAGTATTTTGCCTGCATGTAAGTGCATCACCTGTAAAAACGTCCCTGCAGGCCAGAAGGCGGCGTAGGATCCCATGGAACTGGAGTTAAGGGTGGTTGCTAACTGCCATATGGTTGATGGAAAGTGAACCTGGGTGTTCTGCATGAGCAGCCAGTGAATAAAATCTTAATTTTGGACAAGGTAAGTCGATCACTTTCAGCTCTGTTTAGGACAAGTCAAATTAAGCTTCTATTGTGTCTCAGTTCACTACAATTATGGGCAATTTTTGAACTCTTTCTTCATAAAATACAGCCGAACATAATAATCACCTTGAATCCCACAGTTCTGTCCACAACGCTCAGCCCTAGGACTCAC